TGATGTCTTCAAATCTGGAAGTTGTATGAGTGATTCACAAACAAAGTTGACTTTGGAGTCTTCTCTGTAAATATTTTTCAAGTCTTTGGAACTGTGCTGACAGTCTCCTATAATACCTCTGTTACAGAGGAAAGCCATGCAGTCTTCTCCTCCATGGTGAAAATCCAAAGATAAGATACACACTGTTCAATGCACACACAGTGAGGTCCAGGCAGCACCCCAGACACCATTGGATTGAGTCATGGCCCCAGAGAGGCCCAGGTGTCATCCCTGAAATTTAGGAATCTCATTTACTAACAAAAGTTAAGAAAACTTTCTTCTTAATCAAAATGAGGGAATCTGGTTCTTTTAAATGGTGAGACTTACTTAACTCAGCCAGAGATATGGGGCATACAGAATATCTTCATTTAACATTGTACAAAAAGACATGGGCCAGGCTCCCCAGCAGTCAGGTGAAGGTCAAACTTTCACTAGTGAGCAAATGGAAGGTGAGATAGCCAGGGACTAAGGACAGAGAAAGAAAATCCCTCCAGGGCAACCCCTACCTCAGAGCACCCCACTCTCTGGCCAGCAGAAGAGACTTACAGAGACGCTGCCCCAGGAACTCAGCCAAGTCCTTCCTGAATGCCTCGGATCCTCCTGGCCAGCTGCACGTCCTTGGGGAAGAGAGTGACTCGGCCAGCATGTAAGGAGAGGAGGTAGGCGTCCTCAAAGAGGTGAACTAGAAATGCTTCTGCTGCCTGGGGCAAAAAGAGAAAGACTGACATGGATGCTGGGCATAAACCACTTTTTGTTGGAGACCTGCTGACTTTAATCTGAGGGCTCAAAGAACTGACAGGAAGTGCTAATGAATGGGACTGAACTCTGCCACCACAGAACCCCTTGAAAACCCTCATGGGTTAACATGTCACTGGATCTGGCCTGTGACAACCTATAGGCAGCCGTGGAATTCTGGAATGCTCTTCCTTCCATTCAACCTTCACACAACTGTACCTTACCTCTTGAAGGGCCAACAGGGCCTGGGCTTGCCAGCTGAAGTCCACACCACGAGTGAATTTAGTGCATATTTCTCTTGCCTGTGGAATGGAGATGAGGGTGGGGATGGGGATGAGTAGAGAGCAACAGAAGAGATTCAGGTGAAGATGGACCCTCTCCAAGTGTCTCCAATGAATCCTCATTTCCATCATTCTGTTTTGACCCTTAATCTTAAGGCCTGGCTCGGAGCGGGTGTCAATGCCTAGCATGTCTCATTGGCGGCAGAGGCACCCATGATGAGGAAGTAGTCTCCGGGGTGGGGAAAGTGATCAAAGCATGGATGGATTTGAGGGTTGTATTTATACAATCAGAGGGCACTGTTTCAAAGATAGTGGGTAGAGATTAATTCCATAAAGAATTGCTAGGTGCTCTTGAAGAGCTCATGCTTTCAGAAGATCAATTCCTGACCAGCTTAGAGAAGATGTCTCTCAGCCATCTCTGTAAGAGATGGTGGGGTCCCCCCGCCCTGGGAGATTTAAAGATGAGAGTGGCTCACCAGACGGCCGAAGGGCAGCTTCCTTATCAAGAGGTGTGTGCTCTTCTGCAGGTTTCGGATCTCCCTAAGCCAGCCATGTCTCACCCGACGGGAAGTGCCTGAACAAGAGTTGAGTCATGAAGGGAAAGTGCATTGGAAAATAGGTGGTGCTTTACAGCTTGGCTGAGACAAACTACCCTCCACAAAGGCGGTGATTTCTGTTTTAGTCACTGCTATTATCTTCAGCAACCAGACAACAGCAGACAGCTGCTATAAATAAATACCTGTTAAAGGAGTGAATGGATGAGTCTTTGAGGTTTGAGTGCTAACTTTTCCATGAAGCCTAGCCCAAACTCTAGTCACTTTCCAACAGATGGGTCACCTCCCTCCGCTGGAACCTACGGCACTTGGTGCATCTCATATCTTTCCAACCTAGATTGGAAATTCAGTTGTTTTGCTTCTAGGTCCTCTTTCTCTTTTTTTAAATAGCTTGAAGGAATCAGATATTACCTAGTCCAATTTCCTTGGCTGGATTATCCTTGGGGCTCAAAAAAGTAAAGATAGTTGGCCAGAGTTCATTAGAAGCCAGGTTGGGACCTTGGAAATGGAATAACTCAGTGCTAGTGTCAGAAAGGTGGGCTAAGGAGTCACAGCCGTAGGCTCAATTCTAGCTCCAACAACAACAAAATCTTAAAAAAGATCCCTAAAATCCAAATTCTCGCTAGAGGTATTGCTTAACTGGTAGAGTGCTAGCAAGCTTGAGGCCCTTAATTTAAACCCCAGTTCTGCAGATAAATAAATGCCAAATTCTCTAATTAGGAATTAAAAACACATTACAAAAAATTTCTAACTAATCCTTACGTTGAAGAGGAAACTTAACTGAAACTAGACTATTTGCAATTAATAACAATAAAAAATGTATTTTTCAAAACATGAGATGTAGCCAAAATAGTTCTTGAGTAAAACAATAGCCTTAAAATGTATCTGTCAGAAAACAAGAAAATCCAAAGATAGCTAAGTTCAACTCAAGTGCTATTAAAATAAACAAAAAGATAGAGCAAGAGAAATATTACAGATAATGAAATTAGTGAAAATGAAAGCTAAATAAAAATAGTACAATTGCTCAATAAATATAAGAGCCAATAAAAATGAATGAACCTCTGATAAATTAAACAAAAAAATAAAAAAAAGAAGACAATGCAATGCAAAGATAGCATTTGGAAGGATAAAATTAACTTTGGAACGGTAACTCAAGGTCCAGCCCAGAAAACAGAATCCATACCATGTAGTCAGAAGAGCTACAAGGCTATGGGGTAAGGGAGGCAATTCAGAGATGCCTTTGCGAGGCAGCTGTCAGTGTGACTTTATCCTGGATGAGGGAGGTTAGGGAACAGGGCCAAAGACACAGGGCAGTGTCCAGGGGACCAGTGACATTTTAAGAGGGAGAACCCAACCCTAGGAGATAAGCTACAGAGAGTTGTCTCCCCTCCCACCACTAGATGGCAATGCAGTCTCTAGAGACAAGACTTTAATAAGACATAGCAGCCACAGAAAACATAAAGATGAACACAAGTAATGATCACCAAACAGCTTAAGACCAACACCATGAAAGAAAGGAATCAAACTCTAGAATGAAAATACCACGTACCGGAGACTAATGTGAATTAACAGAGAGAAGAGATAGGCTTTGAGAGAAACAGATAATAAATTCAAAGGGGTAAGAGATATAAAACCCATAGACCAAGAACAAGGAGTTATGAAAAGTAACCAATCAAAGAGATCATGGAAAAGAACTGGAATTAAGCATGCTAAAGTTGGTCTTGAAATGCCAACATAAGTAGTTGGAATTTAATTCTAAAGTAACGGGAAACCAAGGAAGAGTTTTAAGCAAAAGATCATCAGAGCCAAGTGTGGTGGCATATGCCTGTAATCCTAGCACTTGGGAGGTGGAGGCAGGAGGATCTTGAATTTAAGGCCAGCCTGAGCAGAGCAGCAAGACCCAGCCTCAAAAAGAAAAGATCATCTAGCTGCTGTGTTAAAGAAAGAACTGGAACAGGCCAAGAGTGGAAGTAGAGTGGTGTAGTGGCTGGTTAGGAGGCTCTACTGTGAGAAGGTGGAAGGGTAAGAGAGGGGAGGGAGACAGAGATACTGGTGGGAAATTAAGTATGTAATTTGGAGACAGTATTGCTTGAATTTGCGTTTGGTTGGATATGAGGTTAACAAAAATGAACATCTCCCAGGTTTATGGCTTGAACAGCTGGGTGTGTGGCTGTGCCATTTACTGAAATGGGGAAGACTGGAGATGAAGAGGTTGTGGGGGATTAATCAGAAGTTCAGCTTTGGAAGAGCATTTGGGTAGAAAGGCATTTGTCAGGGGAGGGATCTGAGCAGTACACAGATTTTTGAACTGTCAATGTATGAGTGATATTTAAAGACAAAGGGATGGATGAGATCACTGGGAATAGGATAGGAGGGAAAGGGATGTCAAGGAAGTCAACACCTCACCAGAGCTGGAGAGGTGACACAGGCAATCAAGAACACCAAGTAGCAACTTCCAGGGTGCGTGGTGTCGTGGAAGCCAAGGTAACAGAATATTTCAAGGAGACAGTGGCTCACTGTGACAAATGCTTCTCAGAGAGAACAGAAAAATGACATAGACCTACCTATTGGATTTGGCAACTTGGAAGTTGGTGGTGGACTGTTAGGAGTAGTTCAAGTGGACTAGAAGTAGGGGGAGTGCCTGTGGGGAGTAGGATTGGAATGGATTGAAGGGCAAATGGGAAGTGGGGATACAGGCAATGTGTGTACACTTAGTTAAGTCTGGCGGCGCACATCTGTGATCCTAGCTACTCAGGGAGATCAGGAGTTAAAAGCCAGTCTTGTCTATGTACTAAGACCCTGTCTCCAAACAAGCAAGTCTGTCAACTTAAAAGGGGAGCTCTGAAGGAAAGTAGAGAGAAGTGGGAAATATAGGGATTTGGGAAGGTGGCGGGGCAAGGAAACACTCCTGCCCTTTTCTTAAGATTACATATTCTAAAGCACATTTGTTATAGTTTGGATTTAATTCTTTTTTCTGTTTTGTTTGGGTTTTGGCGATACTGGGGTTTGAACTTTGTGCTTGCTAGGCAGTCACTCTACCACTTTAAGCCATGCTTCCAGCCATTTTTGTGTTGTTTATTTTTGAGATAGGATCTCTCTTTGTGCCTTGAGCTGGCTTGGACCCCAATCTTTCTACTTGTGCTTCCCTGTGTAGCTCAGATGGCAGATATGCAACACTGCACCCAGCCATTAGCTGATGAGTCTTGAGAATGTTTTGATTGGGCTGGCTTCAAATGGTGATCCTCCTGATCTCCTCCCATGTAGCTAGGATTATAAACTTGAGTCACTGATCCGGCCTGTATTTAATTCTTTTTTAAAAAATTCATTTTTCTAATATTATTGTTGTACTAGGGGTACACTGTGACATTTACAAAAGTTCTTACAATATATCATAGTCGAATTCACCCCCTCCATCATTCCCCTCTATCCTCCCCCCCATTCTTAGAATAGTTTCAACAGGTCTCATTTTCCCATTTTCATACATGAGTACCTAATATTTGCACCACATTCATCCTCCTCCACCTTTTCCTTATGGATTTAATTCTAAGTGCAGAGAGAGAAGAAAATGGGAAGCCCCTTTGAAGATGAAAGGATATGACTAAGAGCCCACCTAAAAGGAGTGGCTTTTGATAGGACGGGGAACACCTTGGCAAGCCCATCAACAGCTAAGAGTAAGTGGGGTGACAGAAGGTGAAGGAAGTTGAAGAGATAGAAAAATATAGGGGAGAGTGGAAATGCAAAATTCCCAGACAACAGCAGTAGGACTGTTAAGATGTGTGTGTGCAAGCCTGAGGTATAAAACTTTTCATTCAGCCAGGAGTGACGGATGGATGCTTCTGTAACTGAGAGCACGACAAAGATGACCTGCACACTGCTCTCACAATACTAGACTCTCCCTCACTATAACACGCAATAAGAAATAAAACGAGTAAAAATGCAAAGGAGTCAAAAGTCATTATTTGCAGATGATATAATAGTCTGCTTAAGAATTCCAACAGAAGCAACAAAAGGAGTTACTAGGATTGATGAGTTCAGCAAGCTGGCTGAATGCAAAGGTTAAATACTTAGGTTTTAGGGCTGGAGATAAAGCTAAAGGTAGAGCACTTGCCTAGGAAGGCCCTGAGTTCAAAGTCGGTACAAAGCAAACAAAACAAAAAAAAACAACCACAAACCTTATGTTTTGTTAAAGAAAAAAAAATCCACTCACAACAGCAACGTCTAAAAATAACCTAGAACCCATCTTTTCACCCGCACTCTTGCTGTGTGTCAAAGAGAAGTACAGCAGCCACGTGCAGTTCAGGCACTGGCCACCTCCAGCCAGTGGGTCCCCCACCCAGTCAGTTTCTGGAGACTCAGAAACTGAGGACCACAGACTTCTCCCTCTTCCCAGGGACACAGGAAGCAGGGAGAGTGCACTGGAGTCACCAAAAGCAAAAGAATACTTTCAACAAATTAAAAAAGGCCCAGAGGCTGGGGTGGGAGGTGGTAGAGCGCTAGCTTGGCACGCTGGGAGGCCCTGGGTCCCATCCTGCCCTGAACATGAAATTCTCAAAAGGCCACACGGATGCGTAACATCCTGCACGTGCCAGAGCCCTTTACGTGACTTTGTTCCAGTTAGCTGGCAGGTGTGCGCCTCAGCCTTCTGGCCAGCTGGAAAATGGGCACGATTTTGTGTAACGTGACTGTCACACAATCACGAAAACCAGCTGACCCCAACGCCTCGTTGGTGGCAATCAGCGCTCGCAGCAACAGGGGGCCGAGCAGCCCCTCGCCCGAGGGCCCCGCCGACCCGGGAGCTGGGAGTTGGGACTTGCAGTGCCTCCCTCCCGGGGCGCTTACCTCGGGAGGGCCTCGGCAAGGTGCCGGGGGTCGGGGTCGGGGTCGGGGTCGGGCTCGCGCCGCGCTTCCTCGGGGTTTCGGGCTTGCGCTTCCGGCGGTGCGGGCCCATGGCGGACCGCAAGGGTTCCGGCGCACGGCCCACACAGCTCCAGCTCGGCCCTCTGGGTCTTGGGACAAAAGACCAGGACTGGGAATGGCCGGAGAGCGCCCCAGGAGAATGCCGCGAAAGAGCCGGGGCTCGAGCACAGTCCGCGCCGCCTACTTCCTCGGCGTTTTTTAAAACCCCAATACGTAGACTCCCAGTCCAATGAGAGAGCAGGCTGCGAGACGGACGGCAGCGGTGATAGGAGGAGAGAGGGGACAAATTGGAATCAGCCAATGGGCACGTGGAGAAGCGAAGGGAGGCGGGGCCTTTCGTCCCCTTTGCTTGCAGAAAGCTGCTGATCTTCCAGGGATGGGACGGTGGCCGTCTCTGCCCTCTAATTAAAATATGGGGGTCCTGGAGGCGTGGCTCAACGGTAGCGTACCCGCCTATCAAACACCAAGCCCGGAGTTCAAACTCCAGAACCGCCAAAAAAAAAAAAAAAAATTGAAAAACCAATTTAACTGCATGTACATTACCTCTCTGGAGGAGGGAGAAGGGGGTTCCCTTAGATTCCCAGTTTTCACACAAAATCACAGGTACTTTAGATCCACACACATGAAAAGAATTTTAAGATGTCATATAAAATGGAGCGTCTCACAGGTTGGAAGTTTCAACATAACAGAATAAAAAGTAGAGGAAAGTTTAAACAGAGAGGAAAAAGCGCCTCCTCCTAGAAGTGCAGGCAGGGATGGGAGACAAACTGAAGAATGGTGGTCCTTTTGTGGGTTCTATATGCTCCGAGCTGGTGATAATACACACCTTCAAGTCCAAGTCTGTCAACTCCTAATCATTAGACATTGTTCTGGGTGATCAAGATGGGGGCTGCTTATTATCGTAAAATGTAGAGACATGATCTAGGCCTGCCCTAAACACAGGGACAATAGGTGAGTTTTAGAACTTTCCTTTTGCAAGATAAATGCCTTCCATTTTTGTCTCTCTGTCCATACAAGGAGCCTTGCAATTCTTAACACCTCAAAGGGCAAGGCAGATGCAGACAGTTCATCTGTGTCTCTCTATTCTTATAACTTAACATCTAAAAGGAAGTGGTTGGAAGAGAGCTAGCTGCTCTAACTTTTCTGTTTTTACTTACTGGTTCTGATGTCCGAATCTGCCCCTTTTAATGTTTCTTAAAAATAACATAATTTCCCTGTCTCTTTGGCTATCTATCCTGCCTCAGTTACAGATGATTAGGGTCATGGGGACAACCTGGATGGCGGTTTTGAGGTCCTGGCAGGGCAGGCCTTAACACTATTGAATTATGCTGTTGAACTGTCCTGGTAAACGATCGTTTCCCGGTGTCTTGGGAATAATATGGATTCAGGTCCTGTCTGGGTACTTAAGAGTAAAGGGAATTTTAATTTCCTCACTTTACTTTTTTGAATTTTCTAAATCTTTTACTGTGAACTTTAATCAGAAAAATCCTTGGTTATAAAATCCGTGGATTCATGGAACTCTTGTGCAATGCTGGGGTTGTTACCAAAAGGTCAGAGCAGCTGTCCAGGTCCAGGAAGAGAGTTCAGGCAAGATGAGAAAATGCAGTGAAAGTGATAGCAAAGTTTACTAGGAAAGGAATACACTTTCAATAGACTGAAAATTGAAAACCATCTCTTGGGTGGGAATGACAATACTGACTTTTGGCACTTGAGTATGTATTGAGATAGCCCAAGAGAAATTTCTATCCCCTCAGGTCCAGCCTATAGGACTGAGGTCATGGGTAAGTGACAGTGACACAAAGCTGGAGTAGACAAATGAATATTGAGTCCACCTGAACTTTAGGGCATGGTTTATAAGACCTGGGTCTTTGTTTTATTAAGTTAAAGAAATCCACATTAGGCTTGAACCCAAGGTGACTGCAGGAGAGAATGGCTCAAAGACAAATACAAAATGGAGGCAGAGATGCCAATCTTTCCTCCTGCTTATAGTTAATTGGTGGGCTCAAGTAAAGATGCTTTTCAGCAAAAGCAGTTTAAGTACTCTTACATTTTCTGTCAGAGACCTGTGATCTCTTCCTTCATTTCAGGTTCCTTTTGGGAATATCATTGCTCATGTCTGTTACCTATCAGGAGGATATGATGCAACTGCTATGAAAAAATGGTGTTAGGTGTGGCTCTGTCCACCAAAAGCTGTATTGATGTCTTGGTACCCAAATGTAGTAGTGTTCAGAGGTGGGGACTTTCAGAAGTGACTGGATCACAGAGGCTCTGACGTCCAGGCAGTTAATTCATTGATGGGTTTATAGCTTAATGGGTTTGGGGAAAGAACTGTGTTGTAAAAGCAAGTGGCTCTCTTTGCTTTCTGGCCACCACAAGGTGAAAAGCTTTGCTACACCATGCCTCCCTGCCGTGATGTTCTGCCTCATCACAGGCCCAGAAATAACAGCACCTAGTTCAGGGACTAAACCACTGAAGCTATAAGCCAAAATAAATCCTTCCTCCTTAATTTAATTTGCTCAGGCATTTTGTCACAGCAACAAAATGGTTCTTCAAAAAAATTAAAGAGGAGCTGGGAGTGTAGCTCAGTGGTAGAGCACTTGCTTAGCAGGCATGAGGCCTTGGGTTTGATCCTCAGCACTGAAAAAAACCCACACAGAATTGTTATATGATTCATAAATTCAATTTCTGGCTATATATATAAAAGAACTGAAAGCAGGTACTTCAACAGGTATTTGTTTACCCATGTTCATAGCAGTTTTATTCACAATAGCCAAAAGGTAGAAACAACCTGAATGACCGTTGACAGATGAATGGATAAACAAAATGTGGTGTGTATTTATATATATGTATGTATGTATCTATCTATCTGTCTGTCTGTGGAGAGTGGAGTATGAGAAGCCTATGAGAACTTGACATAAGCACAGCTATGTCAAATAATCCACAGGCTGGGTGAGGGCAAAATGCAGCACAGCTGCTTTTCCTAAGATGTTTATGTCCAGAGAGTAGTGATGGCAGGTTCTTCCTATTCCCAATAACTACAATGTCACCCGCCTCCCCCCCCCCGCCCCCCCCCGCCCCAGCCCCGCAGAACTGTTGCTTTACCTCGTTTGCCACTGTATATAATAAACTCGCTGGAGGTGGAGGAGGCTGTTGTGAGTCTCCATCAGAGTGCCCAGCCCACCTCACCCCAGCTTTCTGCATGTTTGTTTTCTGTCTTTTGTCCTTTCTCAATTTCCCATCACTCCCAGTTAGGTTTCTACGATGAGCTCGCACAGGCCTCGGGATATATCCTCAAAAGGGAAGAAATCCTGACATCTGCTACAGTATGGATGAATGCTGAAGACATCATGCTAAGTGAAATAAGCCACTCACAAAAGGCCACTCTATGATTCCACTTACTCATGTACTGTACATACGTAGGGTACATGCAGTGCTCAGATTCATAGAGACAGAAAACAGAATGGCTGCTAGGGGTTAGGAGGAGGGGTAATAGCATTTATTGTTTAATGGGAACATAGTTTGAGTTTGGGAAGATGAGAGTTCTAGAGATGCAAGGTGGTCATGGTCACACAACAATATTAATGTATTGAATGTTATTGAAGTGTAGATTTCAAAAATGTTTAAATGGTAATTTTTATATCTATTTTACTATGAAAAGGGAAAGGAATGGAAAAAGAAAGTTTTTTTAAACTAAATCCAATGAGGTATAGTCAAATCATAGAAAAGATGTTCTTCAATAATCCAGGTGAACATAGAAGGAAGAAATCCACATACACTGGTCCTCAACAGCCATTAATCAGACAAAGAAAATCTTTGCTCATTAATTTTGCTTTAGACAGACAGCCCTTTCTTTGTTCAAAAAGAAGAAAACAGAACTAGAATTCATAACAAATTAATAAAACTGGTTACTTATGAAGTAGTGATAAATGGATGAAGACAGAGGAGGGGGTGATGTTTATCAATGCATACATTTTAATATCATTTTGATTTTTGAGCCAGTTGAACTGCTAATCTGTTTTAAAAATAAATTAAAAGTAATAAAATAGTTTGAGGAAATTAAGTAGAATACTAGACTTCTCTGAATTCCATAGTTGTTGAATGGAACAGAGTAGTAAATTATAGATCCTAGATCTTAGGGATTCTTAATGCCACCAACTGTCCTGGCAATGGGGTAGCTGAGCGTGGGAGAAAGAAAAGGGAGAAAATTAGTCAGTTGTCCGAAAACATCCGGCAGAGACCCCTTCTGAAGCTCAAGTTTAGATTGTAGAAGAAATGTATGCAGGTTTCTTCCCAGGCTTAGGACCTAGAATTCCATTTCTGATCCTTATAAGACCCTTTGAAAGACATATATATGGTCAAGGCCATGCCCACATAGATGGAAATGAAAATCAGAAGAGAAGTTGAAACACATGAAATGGAAATCGATCATTCCCTGGATTATCTAGCAACCAACTCTCCTGACTTGGTCAGGAGTACAACAGCCCTTCCTTACCCAGGGTTAGACTGGATGGCTCTCAGTGAATCTCAGTTTCTCCTGGCTCCCCACCCAGCCTCTGTACAACTGTTAACCACTTCTCCTAGTGCTCCTGCTTCTGACTGGCAAATGAACAGATCAAAGAAGTGAGATGAAAATGGCCAGGACAATTAACTCTGCTGGTTTCTGGTCCTGGAGACAAAGCAGAGATCTAGAAAACTCACCTGACCTTTGATTTTGGGAGTTGGGAGGTTTTCTGGTGACCTCAGCTTCAAGCAAGCCATAAAATGAAGGCCTTCTCTCAGCATTTCTCTTCATGAGCAGGGAAGTGGGTGGCTTTCTGTTCTGTCCTTAGCTTCTCCCCCATGACTTATCACTGGTCCTGACACTATTCCTGTGGCCCCTGGGCCTCATGGGTGTGCACATGACCAGGACCAACACTTAAGGAGGTCTAGAAGGAGATGAGGATAGTATCACCAGGTGTCAGCATTCAGCATAGAGGCCCAGTGGGAACAAGAAAAACAGGCCTCATTTAATGACAGCTCAGCCAGCCACACTCCAGGCCACTCTCATTCTTTCTGGTCTCCACTATCTTTGAGGTCACTCCTTTAATATCGCATATGGGTTCCCAGGACAATCTTCTCTGCAGTCTTTCATGACCCAGCCTCTATTTTTCAAAATGATTACAGAGGTCCTCTAAGACTCTTCATTCTTCCCTCTCTGTTAAGCTCTTAGAAATGTCCTTATCTGCAACCCTGAGCTCATTCTTTTAAACTGTTTCTTTTATTGCCTACAGTTTATCATTTCTCCTCTAGAAAGGTGAGAAGGGAAGCCGTACTTCCTCTGAAACCCGACTGTCAGAAAATATGTGGGGCTACTTTGATGTGTTTTGGAGTCATCATTGGTGGGCCCTGATAGCATGGAATGCCTCATCTTCCTATGACAGCTCTTGTCTGGATGAACAGAGGATGGAAGTGATGTTCCCATGGCAGACAGAGAGGCTGGTGTGTGTGTGAATGTTGGTGAGCAGCAGGTGTGTCATAGTGGGGACATGAACATGACACAGCTTGCAGAATAGAGCACCCTGAAGGAGCTCAGCCAGGGTTTTGGGTGTGACACCTTCCTACTAAGAAGGCTGACAGTGAGAAAGCTGGGGCCTAGAAGAATTCCACCACAGAAATTCTCCCCTCTAAGGTGGATGATAACACACCTTGCACAACAGGGGATAGCAGATGGGGCCCCAGATCTCAGCATAGGGAGAGAGGCTCAAGTTAGCCTGTTGCTGTGGTACTAATCCCCATTTGCTCCTGCACCTGGATCGGGCCCACTAAATGGATTTTTACTCGGTCATCTGCTCCGTATCATCTGCCCTCTTTGATCTCTTTTTGTTTATTTGTGGTACTGGGGATCAAACCCCATGCTAAGGGGGCTAAGCTAGTGCTGTACCACAGAGGTACATCTCCAGTCCCAGTGTTTGATCTTTTGTGACTAGAGCAAAACCCAAATCCCAAAACTCCCTGTACTTAATTTAAAGGGCTATCTATGAAAATGTGTATACTTGATTGAAGGCACAATGAGTACGTGCTATGAGCAAAGCATCATACAAGGTACCAGGGATACCCAAGATGTGGCCCGTCCTCAGGAGTTTGTAGAAGTCATATGCACATATCACTCCAGGATGAAGTACAGAACTAATCAGAGCTAACAGTATGAGTGTTTTCTCTCGGCAGGTCCTCTTTTTAGTATTTTAGATCGAATAATTCATTTAGTCCCCTCAACTCTATGAGGTAAGATTTACTTTAGTGCCTATTTTGCAAATAAGGAAATGAAAGCCCCAAGGGATCACACAGGAAGTAGGTGAGTCGGGATCTGAACCCAGGCACCTGGCTGTGGAGTCTATGCTCCTAGTCACCACGTTATTATGTCTCATAATGGTATTCTATTATTACTCTTCACTAGAGAAAGGCAGAGTGAAGTGGGTGTGGTGATGTACTCCTGTGGTTCCAGCTATTCTGGAAGCTGAGGCAGGAGGTTTGCTTGAGCCTAGGAGGGTGGGGCTGAGATGCACTATGCTGCACTAGGCTCAGCATCACGTGACTTCCTGGGAATGAAGGATCACCAAGCTGCCCAGGCTGATCAGTAGTGGGATCACACTTCTGAATAGCCACTGCACGCTCACCTGGGCAATAAAGAGACTGTCAGAAAGAGAGAAAGAAAAGGGAAGGAGAGATGAAAGGAGAGAATGAAGGAGGGTGTAAAGGGGGGAAGGAAGATTGATTTTAAGATCCCAGGTAATTGAAGGTTCAAGATAGATGGATTTTTAAATGTATTTTCTCCATTATTTGAAAGTTATCTGGCTTAAAAATATCAACTGGGGGCTGGTGGAGTGGCTCAAGTGGTACAGCACCTGCCTAGCAAGCATGAGGCCCTGAGTTCAAACCCCAGTACTGCCAAAAAAAATTAACTAGAATTTCAGGGTACTTTCATGATCTGAGGCCCATCCTGGTTTTGATAGTCTTTTTTTTTTAAGTGTAAAGTGGGAAGAGTCCCCAGAGTTGGGAGTGGGGTCCCAAGAGAGGGTACCCCCATAGTCCCCATCTTTAGTCAGCACAGGATTGTGGCCTTAGTGTCATACACACAAGGCTTGTATCCTAGTTGTTTGCAGCTTTGTGTTGTTGGGAGTTTCCTTGCCTGCTCTAGGTGCCAGTTTCTCTCCTGTAAAGTGACAGTGGTGACACTTGCCTCATTTGGGAGGGTTAAAGACCTACCAAGTAGTCGTGTTTCCTTCTAGAGCTATGGCTTTTCTTTTTGGCTCTCTGAGCCTCTAGTACCTCAGGTGTAAGTTAGGTATTTCCTTACAGGGGTGCATGGAGACCAGGTGATATGGGGTACAGTGCTGTCAAAGGGTAAATAGCACTGGAATGTGTGACTCACTGGTTACTGTGAGTGGTTGCCTGGTTCTGGTCAGGGACCCCTGGAGGTGGGCACAGGTGTCTGAGACAGGCTGAGGTAGGGAGAGGGAGCAGAACTCCCAGCCTATGAACCCATCCTTCCCATAGCAACCTGAGGGACCCCACGGGCTGGTAGGGGGCCATGCACAGGGACACACAGTGTTCTAGGCTGGATTCCTGGACTTGTCTGCCTTTGTGTGGTCCTGGCTAAGGACTGAGGGGCACTGGTGGGGTAAGGCCATGTCCCAATGATGGAGACTGAGTGCAGAGCTACCGTGAGCCACCCAGGCCACTCATGGGTTCTCACTGAGTGGAAGGCCTTGCACAAAAACTGTTTCCTAATCAGTGTATCTTGGGAATTAGAAAAGAAATCATTAAAGACGTGGAACATCCTTAGATTTAGCAGGCACAGTTGGTGCTGGGCTCCCTTCCCTCACCACTTTCCCATGCTTAGCATCTGCCCTGCCATGGCACCTCTCTTAGCCCCACCTCTCGATTTAGAGTACAATGATTTCCAGTGGGGGTCGATATGAGCTGGGGATTACTGGTAGTAATGAAGCCTTGCAAGCAGCTAGAGCAACCAGCAGCCAACACAGAATAAACCCATCCACAGAGAGTCAGTTATTTGATCAAAACAGAGATGCATATGTCAATTTCCCTCTGTGAGGAAAGAGAGCACAGGGGTTGTGACCTAAGTAATCTGTCCTGCTGTTACCACAGTGTACTTCATGAGTGCCAGCTCAGCGGGATGGGAAGCCAGAGGGCAGGGGAGGGGACAATGCAGCCTTTGGCTCACTGTGTGGTCCAGGCCATGGTAAGCTGTGCAGTCTCTCTGAGCCTCTGTATCCCCACGTTAGATATGAGGGTTATAGGCTGTGCTTCACAGAGTGACTATAGGATTGAGCAGAAAAACAGATGAGGCGCACTAAAGTTGATCCTGCACCTTTCTGCTCTGCTCATGTAGCTGAAATTATCCCAAAGCAGAGTGCACTCAGGGACAGACAGGATGAGAATGGCAGAGGACAGATTTCTGTGGGACACCTTTCTTCCCTGCTACAATGGTATATGAGCAAACTACACTGTAGTCCTCACCCCTTCTCTGCCCCCAGCAATGCCTGCTTCCTCTCCTCCATCACTCTGGAGGAAACCTGCTTTCAACTTGACTTTTACAGTGTCTTCCCTTATTGATAACTATTGCTTTGGATGGATGGGGATACTGGAAGGACAATTCCAAAGAGCATTTTGTTTATAGAATGAAGGGAAAACACACCAAAAGAAAGGAAGGATAGCTATACTGGAGCCTGCACCCTGCTCCTTGTGGTTCTGGAGTAGAAATGAAGACCAATGGTGGAGCATCCTGAGGAGCCTGGGGCCAAAGGCTGAGTGAACTCTCTGACTCCTAAGAAGTCCATGAGACAGTCTGATGTAGTGAGCCACATCAGGCTCCAGGACATGGAACTCTGAGGCAGCCCTTCTCAAACCCAGAAAAGTGGTGTACCTCTAGGGCTCTCTACAGGGAAAAGGGAGATATGAAACCATAGAAGGAAGCACAAATCCTGACTTCCAGTCATCAGTTTTATCTTGTGGCAAGTAACAAAAACATTATACCTATACTGAATGAAACACAAATATATTACAGAGCACAAGATTCACATTCACTTTTAAAATAAGGCAAGATTTTAAAAATTAATCATTAGCTCTACAGGCTTCCAGATAATCCCTCCCAAATGTGAGTTCTATTCCTCCTCATACAGGCTTGGGAGTACTTCAGGGGGAAAGGAGAAGCACTGCCCCAGGGTGGGACTCAGTTTCTTCATGTCTGAGAAATTTTTGACAAGTGTTCTTAATGAAGAAGGGTAATTTATAAACTTTAATGGCTATGTACTGAACTCCCAGTTGACCTTGGGTTTTGGAAGGATGTAGTCAAAAAGGCCAGAGAGGTGCTTAACGGCAAAACCAAGAGAAGCAACTTACGAGCACATCAGGGAGGTGAACACACTCAGAAATGCCAAGAACTCTCCCTTTTAGAGATTTTGAGGTACTATGACTTATCCAGGGCCACCAGTCAAGGTTGTGACAGAGCTGAGAACTCTAGTGCCTATTCCTCTTACCAGCAGAACAGGGGCCCAGTGCTGACTGCCTGGGCTGTTGTGACCTTGAGCAAAGGCCTGGGCTGTTGTGACCTTGAGCAAAGTGAAAGCCCACAGTACCACTTGGCAGGGTCCTAAAACTCAGCCTATGGGCGAGTCCTGGCAGGACAGATGCCTGGGGACTAACTCAGTCCCAGGGATCCCCCAGTATTGCTCTGGTGGAGCAAGGATAGTTCACTAAAAAGCAGATGTTTAAATTAGACTGCATTTGAACTGACGTTTCTGTTATGCTGATTTCAGGTTCAGGGCTGAATGCAAACTCTTACCATGCAGGGCTCCGTGAGCACTCAAAATGGCAGGTCATGGCAGACATTTTCCTGACCCTCCAATCTCAGCAGCAGAGTGGAGGCCTTACCACCCCCTGACCATACCCTGGAGGATATTGCAAGGCTCTTGACTCCACCTCCTAAGTACACCCATCTCCATGTGAACAGTTCCCAGGGGGGTTAGAGGACACTTAGGGTCAATGTAAGATTTGCTCCATGTATTCTGGTTTAATTTATAATCAATACAAATTTGACATTTTACTATACAATAAGTGTATTGTAACAAAACATTTCTGCCCCTCTGCTCAAAGTTCTGGTTTTGGGCTGTCTCTGCTGACCTAAGAGCCACTGCTGCAGTCCCCAGAGGACAGTATGACTTTACCTCCACTGAGCAAAACACAAAGTGCTAAGCACCTTCTACTCTCTTAGGTAAGGTTCCTGCCTATGCTACCCCCTGCAGAGATGTGATGACCCCAAGCTCTTGTAGACGAAGTGATCTGCTTGAGTTGTTGGCATAGGTCTGATGGGGCAGCCCCCTCCCCTCCCTAAGCTCTGTCTCCCCTTACCACAACCCCCCATCATAATCTCCCAAACCCTCAAATGTTAGAACCAGAGTCCCCTGGGCAGCACTCATATAAAGGACAAGGGTTTCCCCAACACCATCTTAAACGCTTTGAGTTTAGCACACAGGTAGGACAGCCTATGGTAGGTGACCAGTAATGATTCTGGGTACCAGCTCTGAGCTGTCTGTGGGTAAGGATCAAGAGCCAGGAAATCTATCTTGGCCTGTAACTGGCTTTGTAACCTTGGAAAAACCTGGGCTTTAGTGTCTTCATTTGAACAATGAGTGTGAGAATGGGTGATTTTTATGCCTTTGGTATATTAGACGGCTCCACTCCAACATTCTAGATGCTACTTCCAGGTACCTTATTATGTCCCTTTCCTTTCAGTTAAAAAAGAAAAGAAAGAAAAAAGAAAGTCCAAACTGTCAATTTTCCATTTCCATTTCTTTTTTTAAAAAATAAAGTCCCAAACAACATTCTAAGGCACCACATGGTGACTGCCATGTGTGGTCTTCACCACCCTCAAACGAGTGGGTATTTCCTTCTTGCTTCCGTTGTTGTGGTTTTGTTCATTTCTTTGAGATAGGGTCTGAATATATAGCCCAGGCTGGCCTCACACTGAAGATTACAGGTGTGTACCACCATGCCTAGTTTCCTTCTCTTTGTGACACACGTCATGGGTCAGAGAAGCCCAAAGGGCCCGACTCAGATCTGGTGGAATGGAGAGGTCCCTCCTACACACTGTAATTACTTGGCAGAATTCTTCCCTGACCCACTGTGATACTGACGGCATCACTCATCAAATGTTCTCTTCCCTCACAGTCTACTTCAAGGAATGCATTTGGGGTTTTATGACTGAGCTGCCCAGGAAAATGGTTTGAGGTGCCACTCAACCACTCCAGTGAGCAGAACTGGAATTAAGAGCTGCCAGCATCCTGAGGTTCTTCTTCAGGGTGGGCAACTGTTGCCTGGAGGCAACAGTTCATGAAGTCTTGAGTCCAGCCATAGAAATTCACCTCAAAGACCGCACAGAAGGGCTGAAGGGATGGCCCAAGTGGTAAAGCACCTGCCTAGCAAACATGAGGCCCTGAGTTCAAACCTCACTGCCATTAAAAACAAGCAAACAAACAAAAAAGACCCCAGAGACCAGGCCTGGAATGAGACAAACCTGGGCAGAAGACTGGCTCTAGAACGTTCTCTGCGCCATTGTTTCTCCATCTGTACCCACCTCTGAGGCTGTTACAACAAGGAGTGAGAGGTAAGTCCTTAACCAATGACCAGAATCACTGTAAGTGGAAGAATCCTGGTGAAACCCTTATCCTGAGGGCTCTCTACGCAGCCAGGTAGCTGGAGACAGAGCAAGGAGAAAGACATGCTCTAAGCCCCATCTTCACTCATCATGTGAAGCCGCTCCCAGGTGCTCGGCCAGGGCTGATGGAAGAGACCCCTCTTGCCAAAAAACATACAACTCTGGGTCTTAATTTCCTCACCTTTCTTTCTGCTTGTAGACTGGGGTTTGAACCAAGGGCTTCGTGTTTGCAAAGCAGGAGCTCTACCACTTGAGCCATACCTCCAGTCCATTTTACTCTGGTTATTTTGGAAATGGGGTCTTGTGAACTATTTGCCTGGGCTGGCCTCAATCTGCGATCCTCCCAATCTCAGCCTCCCAAGTGGCTAGGATGTGATGAGCAGCCAGCACCCAGCTCTTTACCTTTCAAATGGAAGTTCTGCCAGGTGTTGTAGTGCTCACCTGTAATCCTAGCACTAGGGAGGCTAAGGCAGGAGGATGGAGTTCAAAGTCAGTTGGACTACCTTGTCTTATATACCAAAAAAAAAAAAAGTTTATTAAAAAATTATCCAGGGCTGCCTTAATTTCCCTTGCAGTCTCTCCCAGCCAAGGAGGCCTGTGATGAGTGTGCGCACAAGAACACCAACACAGGCTCCTCTTTTCTCAGGCTGGACATAATCAGAGGACCACAGAATGCTGGGATGCCCTTCAGAGGGCAGTGAAGACCGCAGTATGGATACCTACATTCCAGAGCTAACAGGTGGGAGCACATACTGAGTTTTACTGAAAACCAGGTCTCTAGACAGAGTGAAGAAATATTACACAAGATTTAAAAAATATAATGCTTAGCTCTGGTTTGAACCTGCTCACTGACTTCCCTTATATAACTCATAAACCAGATAATCTATCATGACAATCTAGTTTACGATTCAGAAATACTGCCATTCAAGTTTACGACTTAGCTCTTAGCGCTGCAGGAGGGTCTGCGAGGACTGGGGTCAATCGCTACACTCTGGCCTGTGGGGGCTGGGTCCCACCCCTGTAGCCCGCGGGACCTGAGTGTTGTGTCATCTTCTCTGGCAGCAGCTGCCCTGTGTGAACAGTAACGGGGGGCAGGGTGAGGTCTTGGGGATAGGGCACTAAAGCTCACCAGCCCTGGTGTCCTCAGCCTCAGAGTGAAGGAGTATGGGATAGCAGCAGCAGAGGCTCCAAGGGACGCTCAACTGTCTTCATTGATGGGAGTCCGGCTGTCGCTCAGCAGCCTCTCACGCTCATCCCCCTGGTCTGGGTGCCAGCCCCTGGACAGGCAGGCCAGCAGTGGGTGGTGCAGACCATTGTAGAGGGCAGTGCCTGTGAGGAGGATGAGGAAGCCGAGGATCTGCAGCGGGTGGAAGACCTCCCAGCCCAGTGCTAGGCTCAGGGCCCAGATGACTACAGTGCGCAAGCTGTCCAACACCATGCGTGTGGTGGCGCTCATTTCCTTGGTCACGCTGATACCCGCAAAGTTGAAGAAGGCAATGCTACTGATGTTGCCCAGCAGTGCCAAGGTGATCAGTGGTTGCTGGCCCACCTGGCAGAAGGCGTCCAGGGCATCCTCCAGTGTCCCTCGAGGGTTTCCACTGAAGGAGCCAGCAGGGATGTAGTACATGGGCACCAGGAGCAGGGAGAGGATCACAAAGCCGAAGAGGCCTGGGGAGCAAGGAAGCTTGTCACGTTCTATACCTGGTTTAGCCTTCCAGTATAGCCTGCAGGTGCGGCAGCCGCTGATCTCAGGGCCACTCCTAGGATCTGTCTCCCACCTCTCTTCAGGAACCTTGGGTCTATGCAATGGACTCTTGCTACCCCCTTTTCACCTCAACCCGGTGGCTTCTGCTTTGCCCATGAGTAGGAAATACATTTTATACTGGATGTGTGCACAGGCTTGCACGCACACATGCACACACACACAACCAAGATTGTAGCTGCCCTTACTATATACCATGTTCATTGTTCTTCTCAATTAAAAAAGAACTGCTGGCTCCAGCTCACCTCATTGTTTTCACCAGGTTGGGAAAACAGCTCTCTAACTCAGCAGATTAACTGAGCCACAAAGAGTGTGTGCCAAAATGAAGTCAATGTACTGTTTCATTCACAAAGTCTTGCTAGAAACTAGAAATGAAACAAACAGTACACTATACAATGTAGTGGGCTTAGGTCATTTACCTTCTACTGTCAGCTCTTCCATTTAGTAGGCCAGACACAGACAGCTAACAGGTGCTTGTGCCTGGGCTGCCTCTGGCAGCACTTTAATCCATATTGCGAATCCCATTATTTTTAAATAAAAAATTGTTTTGGCAGTACTTGGGCTTGGAACTCAGGGCCTAACGCTTGCCAGGCAGGTGCTGTACTGCTCTGCCAACTCCACCATTCTGTCTGTGTTGGGTATTTCTGAGATAGGGTCTCACAAACTATTTGCCCAGGCTGGCTCTGAACTGTGATCCTCCTTATCTCTGCTCCCAAGTAGCTAGGATTACAGGTGTGAGCCACCAGCGCCCGGCCTAAATAAAAATTCTGATAGTTGCTCCCTGCTCAAAAACCTTCAGTGGTCCCTCCTGCTTGTCATCTAGTTTACTTGGCTTGACATCAAAGTTCTCCAGATATAATCCTGACTGCCTTAATTCCTGATTATTTCCCCAACACCAAACCTATACCACACTAAAATTACTCCTCACTGGTTTCCAAATTCACATCCTGCTCCCCAGGCCTTTGCCTAGTCTGGAGTCTCCTCCTTCCCACTCCTGCCTGTTTGAAACTGTGGGTCAATGCCGCCTTCCCTGTTCCAAGAGAGTCAGACTTTCTTGGTCAATGAAGCATCACTTGAGCACAGTGGTCCAAGCCCAGTGCACTGCGCAGCCCTTTCTACTTGCTGGTTACCAACTCTAGAGGCCTGCACCTTGTTCATTACCATCCTTGGATCTAGCCTAGCACAGCAGGTGTCAGAGAATCTGTCAATTCCTATCTGGGTGTGGGGGGACGGCTCACCCCCCTGACAGTGATGGCTGGTACCTGCCTTGTGTGCTATCTGCTGCCCCCAGCACATCCTCCCTGCTAGCCATTCCTCCCAGGTTCGCACACACACACACGCACCCTCAATGCCCACTGCCCGGAGTGGGTGCACATTGTGTTTGTAGACAAACATCTCCTCTAGCACCATCTGGATGGCGACGATGATCTGGGCCATGATGATCAACAGGTCCCCTGAAGAAAGGAGGCTCAAGTTAAGCCAGGGTTGCACTGGGCTGGAGCCAGGGATGGTGACAGGAGGACCCAAGGGGCAGAAAATACCAGCTCCTGACTTTTTGGGGCCCCATATAGCTAAGACACAGTCATGACTACCTATGCCTGATTCGCTTGCCCCTGGAGGGGCAGGTCAGCTGGTCAGGATGGAGGCTCCAGAAGGTCCAGAGACCTAGCTGGATCTGACAGCTACATGGCAGGGCAAGTAGGTCTTTAAGGAGTGACAGGCTTGAGACAAACATTTCTGGTTTAATCTTGACTCTGAGAGACCCAGAGAGGTCATTTCTTATAAAATGAGCTGCAATGGCTCCCTTTGGGGACTGGAAATGTTACTATGATGAAAAATGCCCAAGTGCCAGGGTGGGCACAAGGTAAGTGCTCAGTAAGTGGTCCTTCCATTCCTTTCCCAGGCCAGCAGTTTGTGTGTTTAGGCATCACAGGATCGGACAGCTTCTCCTCGGACCTCTTATTGCTCACTCCTCTCGCACTGCTAGTCCCTCTTCCTTGGCACAGTAAGACCTTTCTCTGGTGTCCCTTATACTTTTTCCAACCCTAGAAAACAAGTAAATGCCCTGCACCCAGGACCAGACCTGCATATGGCAAAGGTTGTATGACTCTGTGAGACAACTCTGTGCTGGGCTCTGAGAAGGGAGGGGACAGGACAGGTAACCCTGAGTCCCTGTCTGCACATACCTGTGATCACTTCACTGAGCTTGTGCTGATTGTCGTGCTGGTTCAGGAGGTCAGCCAGGCCCACGACCACCAGTCCTGCAATGGTGGCCAGAATGCCCAGCCACTGGCTCGGTGCCAGCCTCCGACCCAGGAAGGCCATGGAAAACAGCCCTGTGAATATGATTACTGCACCCCGCAGCATCTGGAAGCTGGAGGCACTGGTCATGTTCAGTGCTAGGAGAGGAGAGACAGAACTGTTAGCTCTAGAGGGCAAAGGCTGGCTGCCAAGGAGGGCTCCCCAGGGCTAGAGACAAACTGAGCCCATAGTAACACAGTCAGTCCTCAATAAATCTTGGTTGTGTGTGTGTCAAGTCTGTGGGAGAGTAGCAGGGTGGGGTAGAGGGGCAGTTTCACCAGTGACTCCTGTAGGCACAGCCCTCACTGAGCCCTTCTCAGCCTGGCCTAGCTACTCACCCACGTACATGAGGCTGGTTCCTGTCATGTCACATAGGGCTGGGGGCAGGAAAAGAAGGGTACTGAAGGGTTGTTGGGGATCCACACTGGTGTTTGACTGCTTGCAGCTCTGCACTGGAGCAGGTAGAAGGCAGCCAGGCAGGAGAACTCTCCCAGGAACATGCCCACCGCCTGCAGGGACGAGAACCCACACAGACTCAGTGCTGAAGGGAGCTGAGGGATCGCCTTCAGCAGTATTGTTAACATAACCTTCCTGCAGACTACAGCTCATCTAGAACCCCAACTCAAACAGACAAAGCAGAGCTGCTGTGGGAAGCCACACAGCCCCCTGGGTCTGCCCCAAAGCCTGCAAAAACATCTCAGTGGAAGCCTTAAGGCTGTGGATCCTGTGTGCAGACTCCCGTTCAAGGCCAACCACTCTTTCTGGTCCAGATAAAGAAACTGAGGCTCAGAGAGGTTCAAAAACTCATGGAAGGCCGTGGAACAAGGTGATGACAGACTGGGGTGAAATACGAGTCTCCTGACTCCCAACCCAGCAATGGGGTATCTTCTATTGATAGGGTCTGCCCTGTCCCAATAGGGGTTTTGGCTCAAAGAGGATGGAAAGCAGCAGGCCTTTGCCATTGGGGCTAGTGTTTTCTCCATGTCTTGACGGAACATGGTGAAGACTCCCAGGACTGCTTGCCACTGGGACTTGTACAGGTCTCCTGCTGAAGACTGGGCCCACTGTCCCCTTCCATGGCACCCTGAGACACTGTCCTTGTTCCAGGGAGGAGAAAAAGGTGGATGGCTCTTCTTGGATCAGAGCAGCTCCATCCTTGGGTCAGGAAAATATCCAGGGCATGGATGCAGGTGGGAGAGCCTGCAGTACCTGGAGGAAGGGGTGTTGGAAGTTGTGCTCCTTGCTTCCTCTGCAACCCTTGGCTGTGAAGTTGTCTGCCCACCTGCAGCAGAAAGAGGGAAGATCAGCCACCAGAAGCAGGTAGTGTCTCCACATGGCCAAGAGTTAGGGACTTGGCCCCAGCTGGGGCTCCCTCTCAGAGGGGCCAGTCTCCACAGCGAGGGATTTGTGTTGTTTTGTTTTCCTTCTGGGATGGGGTCTTGCTATGTAGCCCATGTTGACCTCGAACTTTCAAATCCTTCTGCTTCCCAAGTGTTGGGATTATAAATGTGCAACACAACACCTGGCAGAAATTTGCTTTTTAATGTTGGATAACTTTATTTTAACTTAATTGGCTTCTGAAATCTTTAGTTTCTTGCTTGTACACTTTAAAATATTACTGTAGAAGAGGTTCACAGGCCACACCAGTCTGTCAAAAGGACCTGCATACAAAGTGTCAAGAGCCACTGGTCTCAGACCCCAGAGATGACCACCTGGTGGTCTTCATAGAGTCTGAATGCCTGGAGAGGTCCTTTTAATGCCAACCGTAAAGCAGGTGACAGATGCACTGCAGTCACAGGGCAAGGGGCCAGTGAGCATTGTGGTGGATAGTAAGGACTGACCGAGGCACTGGTCCGTGGTGGGCCCAGAACCCTTCACAGCACTGTGCTTCGGCCAGCTATACCATCATTCTGAATTGTCTGCCACCCAGTGCAAAATTGCCTCTGCTGAATTACACTCTTGCTGGCTGTTATGTCTCTGGAGTCTAATCTTTCATTTGAAAGCCCCAGTCTTTCCTAGCCTTTGGCTCCCTTGACTGAACCCAGGCCTTAGCCACACATGATTTGGCCCAGACACAGAATGTCAAGACAGTGGTGCCTCCCTCGTGTTGGACATTGTTGGTCAGTCAACAGCTCCACTGCACCAGCCATGTCACCTGCTGACTCTAGTCAGTGAATACCTAGAGCTGTTTCCTGTGGGCCATGACCTGCTCCCACCATAATGCCCCATAGTGGATGTTTCTAAAGTATAAGATTGGGGACTTCCCCCCCCCACACCCAGTGCTGGGGGTTGAACCCAAAGCCTTGTGCATGCAAGGCAAACTCTCTACCATAGAGCTACACCCCCAGCCCAAGACTGGGCACTTCTTTTTGTGAAATACATCAGAGCACCCACATCATGGTGTCTTGTCCCATGCTCCTGGCTTACCTGTTACAAGACTGAGTCCCCAAAGAGCTGGAGGGAGTGAGGGGGACTGGGGGTAGAGTTCTGGAGAGTTTGTGGTTTTTCGGAATGGGAGTCAAGGAAGAATTGAAGGGAGGGAAGAAGTTCTGACATGACTGGTTAGAAGGCAGAGACAGGTTTGAAGCTCTGCGCAGTCTAGGGCACTAGGCAGTAACCAGTCCCAATATCAATAGAACAAAGAAAGGCCCCATTACACAATAGAACTCCCCTACTTTCTGGGTCCTGATTTGCCAGTTATGGCTCTTGGTTCCCCAGATCAACAATACAGCTCACCTAGGCAGGCCTGATTGGAACCCAGGCTTTCCTTGGCAAGAGAACTCCCTTGGGAAGACCTGGGGAGCAACTGAGTGAAAGGGAAGAGAACCGAAGAGTGAAGGGATAAGCTTTACCAAAGGTGTGGAGCCACTGCCCCCAGCTAGCTATGGGTCAGAGAAGAGAATTGCCAGGGCTCCTCCACAAAACAAGGGGGGTGTCAAAGAGTCCAGGAAAGCTAACAGGAGCCTAGAGCAGGTGCTTTTTTGGAAGGGTGTGTGGCAGGTATGGAAGCTACTTTCTCATCCTCACAGCCAGACCACAGACTGGAAGCTCAAGCAGTCCCCGCAGCTCTAGTAGTGATGCTACTCCCTAGAAATCAGCCTGGACTACTGTGCAGCAGCTTGTGTCTGTAACACAATCCAATTCCATTCACTGTGGTCTGCAAGTGAGCTCAGCATCCAGTCCTTCCACACTCTCAGCCCCCTGCTCCCAGTAATAACCACACAGAAGCCCAACGTTTTTGAGTGAATGAGCCTTCCTGATGCCACCTAGGAACAGGTCAGGGGATGAGGCCTAGAGGCACACCTCCAGGAGTCCTACTTCCCTCTTCTCTGATGAACAAGCTGGGCCAGAGGAGAGACTTGGCAGCAAGGCACTTCACAGGGAACTGGCTGCTGGCTCAGATGAGCTAACTCCTCCCACAAGGGTTGTCTTGGTTGTCTCAGAGGTAGTTCTGCCTAGACAGGTCATGCTGGCAGGCTTCTCGCTGGGGAAATGGAACCTCTTTGTATCAAAGCACTCAGCAGCCTGAGGGACTGGGTGTCAGCAGCACAGGCCACCCTGCCTAGTGCATCTCTTCAGGCCAGGGAGGAGACGCTCAGGCCTGCAGGCACCTTGGGGTAGGAGTCACGCTTTGGCTGATTGTGCTAGCGCAGGACCCCAGGTCTCATACCCAAGAGCCAAAATCCAGCCTCAGTGTATCTGGGGAGGACAGCTATGGCCCCTCAGGCAGGACAGCACACTTTACTGTCAATGCTCCACATGCATTTTGTATTGATGGACAATTAAATTAAATTCATTGAGTACTGACTTTGTGCTGGGCCTGGGCTGAGCACTTCATGTGGGTTGTCCTGGTTAACCCTCACAGGTATCCTTGTTCTCAGAGGCAGATTCCAAGGCTCAGGTGCAGAAAGCAGTTCATGCTCAGTCAGTTAACAACCTACAGATCCAGGGTTGAACCCTGCATACTCAGAAAGGCAGCAGAATACCGGGAAAATGCAACCTGAGTCACACAGTCTGGATGAGTTGCAGCCAACACCGATGAACTATCAACGTGCTAAGTAACATGCTCCGGAAGACCTGGCACATGGCAGATATTCAATACAAGCTCTTTTCTGCCCCTTCTTCCTCTTTCCCTCATGAAGTACCACCTCCCCTTGTCAGTGTGTCCTCAGCTCCACTCTACCTTGCAAGCTCCTGGGAGAGGATTCATCCTCCAGAACTCACCTTGCTGGGCACCTGGAGGGGCCCAGGACTTTCAGAGTTACAAAATGTGGAACTAGAAGAAATTCAGCCATCTTCTCCTGAAACTCCTTATTTGCCAGAGGAGGAACCCAGGACCAGGGATGGCTTGAGGGGCCCAGGGCTTGTCAGGTGCTTAGGCAGGACCAGCCAGGGCTAGTCCCCAGGAATGGCAGCATTCAGTTCCATGCTCTCTCCTATGACCATCTTACTCAAGACTCTCCGGTTGCCCTGCAGAAGTGAGGAGGGGTAAGCCCTGCAGACCCACCTCTGTTCTCTGTAAACTCTATTCTGGGGGATAGGCCAGATCCTTTCAAGAGTTTCCTGGGAGGAGGTGGGATAAAGGAGAATGATGGAGAGGGTAAATTTAACTAAAACATATTGTAAGCATTTTTGTAAATGTCACAATGTGTATGCAGTAGAACAATAATATTTAAAAAAAAAAAAGTTTCCTGAACATGGGCAGGCCAGCTGGGCATAGGCAATCCTACTGGGTGGTAAGTCATCCTTGGCGGGCCTTGACCACATTCAAACTCAGCATTCTGGGCAGTGTGCACCCATTGTGGTAAGGGGTGACACATAGAAACTGAGGAAGTAGCTGATGTGGCTGGTCCAGGACGATTAGCTGTGTGTCCATTCCCGCAGAATCTCTGCCATTTCCTCCCACAGCCCCAGCTGGTCAAGCCCAGTGAGTCAGCTTCTTGCTCTTGCCCATGGATTTACAGGAGGCCCAGAGCTTCTCCACTTCTGGGGTGTCCAGTAGTGGCCCTGGCTTGCAAGAAGATAGAAATGCCTATGAGCCCTCTCATTTATATGCATGAGAAAACCTTCCTCAGCAGATTTATAGTGCCTGGGAAGACAGAGTAAGGATCATTATGTCCATTTTACAGATGGGTTCAGAGAGACCCAGTGACTCATCTCACCCCACAGTTTCCAAGCATCAAGCTCTTTCCATTTTACTGCACTGTCCTCCTGACTTAGGCTGCCTCGAACTGGCCCTGCAACCCCTCTGAAACATCGATCTCAAGCTAGTTCACAGAACCCAAGCGTGGGGGCAATTGCCAAGGGCAAAACATGGAGCTGACAATGTAAAGGACAGTGAAAGCTTCTTCTTTAATAGAGGCCTGGTGGTGCCAGGCAGGGTCCCCCACCAAGGGATGAAGGGAAGTCAGGCCCATATGCCTTCCCTGTCCGGGTGGGCCATGGAGCCTGCAGAAGCTCAGAAGTGGGCTGTGCCTAACTTAGTGTCTGCTTAACCCTGACTCTTCTGATACATAACCTCTGCTGAATTCAGAAGAAGGCTCCAAAATGAGCACACCCTACCACAGGCACTTGGCAAATAGAAATGGTTGGTCTCAAGCAGATAATTAACAGAAGGGGTGGAGGGGCGAGCAAGAAAACAGCCACAGAAAGGAGAAGCAGTTACTTCCCAGGAGGAGCCAAAAGGCTAGTCCAGACTGGTGATTTTTCTCTCCATGGGCATGTGACATTTTCTCGCAGCCTTCTAAAACTTGCTGTGTGGACAGAGCTGGCCCGTGGTCCCGGCACAGCAGGTGGCACACGCTTGAATGAGCTTCCTCAAACCCTGCTGTGAAGCAGCATCACCCGGGAGGGAAGAAGCACCATGCCAGGGTACTGCAAGAGCTGCTCAGGTCTCAGGCGAAAGGAGCAAGATGAAGGCAGGACTCCCCCGTCCAGGGCTTGCTGCCCAGCCCCAGGGGGAGGGCTGGACAGGAGATACCACTTAGACCTTCTAGACACAGCTTTGCCTGTCCTTGTGTGAGGGAATGAGAGAGGACAGCCCAAGAAGGCAGGGCTTTGGGACGCTACAGTCCTCAAGCACAGGATGGGACTGGTTCCCAGGCTTGGGTGCTAGTCCCCATTCTGGTACCATTTGACTGAGACACAAAAAGAAACTTCTCTTGGGGTCTCCCCTGTCAAGTGTGGGATTAGACTGGATAATTTGTTTCTAACAATAATAAAATGCCCATGAATCAGGGTATGGAGGATTTTGAGTTTGAAGTCAGACTGGGCTATATAGTCAGACTCTGTCTCAAAAGAAAAATAAGTAAATAAATGCCCTCAAAGTGACTACAGAAGTCCCAAACCTTATCCCCACTGGTGGTTAAGAGCATGGATTCTAGTTGTGGAAATAGTTCAGTAGGAGAACACTCACTCAGCATGATGCCTAGCATGAGTGAGGCCCTGGGTTCAATCCCAAGGTCTCTTGCCTGTAATTCCAGTACTCCAGAGGCTGAGGCAGGAGGATCACAAATTTGAGGCCAGCCTGGGCTACACAGACCCTATCTCAAAAAAAAAAAGGGTGGATTCTAGAGTCACACCACTTTCAGTCAAATAGAAACTCTGCTACCTGGAAGGTGAGTTGACCTTAGCAAGTAGTTTAATCTTTCCGTACCTTTTTATCCACGCATTATGAGCCTAACTACCTGGCTTGGTGGTTACGAGAATTCTGACTTCACACGAAAGGCGGCCTGAACAGGGCCTGGCACTTGGTAGGTTGGGTGCTCTCTAGGTACAGGCTGTTCACACATGCTTTCTGTCTGCACCCGATGGAAACTGCAGGCCACAGTGTGACTTCACCATCAGGGTGTTCACGCTGCTCCCCCCATTCCATCTAAGAGTATCATTCTCACAGTCTGGGTTTTGTTGTTGTTGTTGTATTGGTACTGGGGATTCAACTCAGGGCATGTGCTCTACCACTTGAGCCACACCCTCAGTCCCTTAGTTTTTACTGTTTTTTTGAGATGGGGTCTTGCTAACTTTGCCCAGGTGAACTCTTAATACTCTTGCCTCCACTTCCTAAGCAGCTGGGATTTCAGGCCATCATGCCTGGCCTATGGTTTGGCTTTAGAGCATTGTATAAGGAAGAACTCTGGGGCCTGTGTCAAGATGGGAGGCTCCTGAGAGGCCCTACACCAGGTTACACAGAGCAGGGGACAGGACCAAAGGTTGGGTCTCTCACCTGGGAGCCTCCTTCCTGTCTCTTAGGCAGCCCTCAAGTCTGGCGTCTCCTGGGACTGAGGTGCCTCTAGCTTCCAACCAGACTGGTTTGGAGCTTCTTAAGGAAGGAGCTGAGTCAGCAGTAAGTGGCCATTTGGAGTCTCTTTGAGGACAGTTGCTGTGGCCCACGTACAGCTACTCTCTGAGCACTTGAACTAGGCCTTGGCTTGTGCGACAGCTGAGTGGAAGACTTATTCTGTTGTGTTCAGATTCTGACTGGAATGGGAGGCTCAGGTTAGGGCTTAGCACAAGGAGGCTGGCAGCTTTCTACAAGGGAGCAAACTCAAGAGGCAGAGGGCCACACCCAGAGTTCTATGGACTGTGTCCTCTTTAGGGGACGGGGGATACTGTGAGAGCACATGTGAACACATCTGTCTCCTCCATCTTAAATTCTAAGCATCTCAAAGGCAGGGACCTTGACTTGGTCACTGTGGCCTCCTCTTCTACCACACTTGTAGGTACCTGATAATCACCTGATGTGAATATTCTCTCTCAGGATGACCACTCAAGCACATCATATCACTGATGGACCATGCCAGACATAAAAGCCTCAGAAGGAATGGCCATGTCCCTCAGAAGGCTCACAAGTCAGTTTCTCAAAGTGCAAAGAGGGACAGAAAAACCAGGGAACCTGGAGCCCAGTACAGAGGGTGGGAAGGCCCACCTTCCACTAGGAGGATGGGAAGGCCCTGCTTTGAAGTAGAGGTAGAGAAACTGACAAGAGAAGAAATGGCCTTCCTGCTCATAGTGGTGAGGAGGCCATGCCTGGTTTCTCAGCCTCATGACTGCACTGGGTCATGGTCCCCAACCTCCTGGGGAATGTCCTCACTGCAACAAAGCTGAACTTTGACCTGCCCTTCCTGTCTGAGTTAAGGACACATCTCTTCTCTCAGGCAGAGAGTCTTGGGGGGGTCAGCCTTGTGGCTTCACTCTGTCTCCAGGGTCTACCACTTGTTCCTTCCTTTCCCTGTCTCACTGCCATCTCCCAGGCAGCCTCATCTGGTAGCAGCAGCCAGATGACTCAAATGACTTGAAGAGTCCCAAATGACTCTTCAAGCTGATCACCAGGTTGATTTCATACTGCTTCTTTTGTATCATTTTCAGCATGTCATTCCCCAGCTCAATAGTTCCTTTCCGATTATGGGGAAAAATTCAGGCTGAGCATTTGGTGCTGGTGACAAGCCACCTTCAATCAAGCCTTTCTACTCCCTGCCTCCATGTCTCCGCCATAGACAATCCTACCTAAAGCCGGACCTGGTGTTGCACGCCTGTAAATCCAGGCTACTCGGAAGATTGTGAGTTCGAGGCCAGGTTGGAGAGACACACTATATCTCAAATGCGAAAAACAGAAAAAGGGTGGAGGTGTAGCTCAAGTGCTAGCACGCAAGTCAGGAAGTGCGAGCCCCTGGGTTCAATTCCCAGTACTGCGAAATAAATTAAAAAACAAAACAAAACACACCTAAGCGTCAAGTTGCAGTGCTAACCCCTGAGGGCTTTCGGGCACCCTCTCTGCTGTCTCAGCTCTTTACTCACTGGTCACCGGCCACTACAGTAGCTGGCATGCACAAGTCCTGGAACCTCCCCCGCCGCCCTTAGGAGAGGAACTGATCCAATCTTCCAGTTCAAAGATGGGGAAACTGGGGCCCGGAGATGGGAAGTGACCGCGAATCAAAGCCAGGCCTCGTACCCCTTTGAATGGTTCGTGAACAGCGTACGAGCCGAAGGGCTCTCCGGGCTCCGGCGGGCCGGTGCAGCCAGAAAGCAGAGCCAAGGAGGGGGTGGCACCGGGAGAGGCGCGGGGCCCAGCCCAGACTCACTTTGCCGACAGAGTGTTGATGGAGCCGGTGACGAGCATGAGCCCGGCCAGGAACAGCTGGTACTTCGTCCAGGCCATAGCGGTGCACCGAAGGGCTGCAAATGTCAGCAAACAGCTCGCGCCCGGATCACCGGGGGCGGGGATGCGGTCTCCGGCGCTAGCGCTTCCGGGGCGGGTGTCACGTGCCCGCCCAGGCCCCGCCCCGCGCCGATCGCCCCGCCCCCGTGAGTGCGCTGGAGCCGCCCAGACCTTCACGCCACTGGGTAGATCGGTACGCGGG